AAAAAACTTGGGGCTTTTGTTTATTTTATTCCAGGAAAAAAATTCTAGATATAAAGCCATTTTTCCTTGCTTTTAATCTCTCATGTGCTTCCAGTGACACAGCTGAGGAAACTATTATTTCCCACAAAATTAAACAGTAAATAGCTACTCCCTTTCAATAAAGCATTATCCAAATTCCAAGAGTAGGATTAATATCCCGAATATACGAATAACCCTTACAATTCACACAGAAATAAATAAACTCACTGAAAAATATAAATAGGCCATTCACACACACACAAAGACCTATGATAAATATAAGAGACAGTGTTTCACCTCACTAATGAGGAAAGAAATGCAAATTTAAAAAATACCCATATTTCATTTGGCTATATCTGTTAAGTGGATAACTTATACCACATATTTTTATCTTATTTAGTGCAAACAAAAGTCCTGTGAGGTGGGCACTATTATAATGTCCACTTTATAGACAGGGAATCTGAGGCTCAGGGAGATTAATATGCCTAAAGACACAGTTAATAAATGGTATTAAGAATAGTGCTATATTATCTTTGGATATTTGCAAATATTAAATAATACATACACCACAATGAAAAACATGCATGTTTTGACTCGGCAATTTCACCTACAGTGTTTTTCCAGGGAAATAATAGGGTAAGTACACAAAAGGCTTTTATAAGGACATTTAGTGCTATATTATTTATAATGGCAAAAAATTGGAAACAAATGTTCTTCAAAAGGGATTGGCGAAATATGTGAAGACATATCCCTACAATGTAAACCCAGGCAGCTCTTAAAAAGGATGAGGTAGATCAATATGATTTGGTTTAGAAACTTGTGACCTCACGATAGTATAGCGCTCAGTGGGAGAAAAAAGACAGGTTATAAAATAACATGTAAATTATAACCCTATTTTTGTAACAAGACTTATCTTTAGTTAACAGAGAAAAATGTCTGAATACATAGGCCATGGTTATCTTTGTGGAGGGGTTACATTATAGCAGAGCCTACCAGTTTATACTTCTGTATTATTTTAATATTCTGTTTTGGAATAATTATTTGAAGCAGAAAAAAAAGCAACAAATATTATCAGATGCTAAAACTGAGAAGGCAGAACACATGCACTAACACTACAAGAATACTCCCAGGGCAGGTGAAAGCGGAAGGTCAGAGAAGGCACACACAGGAGATAGAAGACTCACATGTAGAGCAAGCTGTGCAAGAGGAAGACAGTGAGAAGCAGAGGATGGGAGACGGGAAGAAGAAAGGCAAAGGAGAGTAAGCAGAAGAGCAGGAATGCCGGTAAAGGCAGACTGGAGAAACAGCAAAGCAGCTGTAACAAAGGCCAGCAAAGCCCTCGTGGTAGCAGGGAAGGTTCATTTGGAGCTTTGCTGATAGTGTAACTAAGAACGGCTGAGATAGTTACAAGCTTGGGCTCTGGAGTACAGCAGTGCAGTTAGAGCTCAGGAAGTACATACGTGTCCCTGTATGTGTCCCATCGTCCCTTGCAATAGATGGGGGCCATGTGACTAATTCTTGTCTTTGGCCTGTGAGAGGAAGGGTTGAGGCCCTTACGGGTGGCAATGTCTCCTTTAACACCCCTATGCAAAAGTCATATCTGTCATGTGTTCCACCATGACCTGGCTGCAAGGAGTCACCAGTGCCCAGGGGCCAGGATGTGCTAGAGAAGTAAGCTTTCATTGCATTAAGAGATCATGATTTGGAGGTTTGCCTGCTGTGGTAGCTAGAGTTTCTTGCTCTGATGTGCCCTGTCATGTATTCATTATCTGATTTTGGAGAGATTACTTAACTCTCCAAATATCGGTTATTTCACTTGTCAGTGGACTTTCACTTGTCAATCTCACAGGGTTATTGGAAGATTATATGGGAAAGTGTACAGTGTTAGGTACAAAGTATTCAATATGTGATAGCTATTATCATTGTTATTATTATCATTTACAGCAGGAGTTAATAAATAAATTTCCCCAAATGGGTAGCATCAAAGCCGGGGAGATGTGAAGAGATGACAGCAGGGTCCATCCAAGGAGATATTGTGGGACACATTAACAAAAGGTGTGGAATCCAGACACGTAAATAAAGACGATTGAAGATGTAAACCTAAACATCTCGGCTGCAAATTGCCAACTTCCTAAGCACTCATTTGTAGAGGTTAACTTACAGGGATAAGCTACTTACAATTAGTTGCATATCCATAAAAATGATTACTAAATTTTCATCATAATGAAATGTTATGCTAACATAATTTCTTTTTCCAATATTTCAGTTTAAGTGGCCATAGCAGGTGTTAGATATGCCTAATATCATGGAAATATTTGTTGACCCTTTTAACCATTTGGTCATCCAAGCAATAGTGCAGCAGGGACCATAGAGGTACCTGCTGGTTTAATTAGGGTGGAAAGGGGATGATATGAGCAGGCCAGAGACTGCCTCTGTAGTGGGCTGGTGGCGGAGGGGGGATGTGATATATAACTCCGATAAAGGCAGCATATGATGAATTCAGGGTAACTCGGTAGTGCTGTTCTGTCTTCTTTCTTGTCTTCATTTATTTCCTTTCCTTTTGAAAAGGCAGCACATTTGCAATTAGCAAGTGTAACATATGTCTTGAGACCCCTTTGAGTGCCATAATTGTATGATTTCTAAATAAAATCAAATTGTTGATTTTCGAGAGACTAAATTGTCTAAATTACTCCCAGTCAGTAGTGGCTACAAAGTTTCTATATAGGAGGGGGTTAAGGGCGGCATTCTGGCTTTCGGACTGTGTTGGAAGCTGAGTTTGCGTAGCACCTTGCAAGGATTGAGATGTCCACTTTCTAAATAAAAAGGGAGGGTCTTTTATGGGAAGGGGTTAAGCCCCCAACTCCACTTGGTACTGCTGCTGCGCTCCGGGACTCAGTATTTGGCTCACTCCAGTCTTTCAACAAATGTTTAACGAGCACCTACGACGTGCTCCAGACACAAAGACGATAAAATCTCTGTGCCTAGGGCGACCACTGCCCAGGAGAGAGACCGAGGGCGACCTGCGCAACCCCTGAGTCCTCCAATACTCAAGAATCAGAGTCAGGTTGTTAGAAATTCCTTCTTCGTTCTGGCCGAATACTAACAGTCGCAGGAACCTGCCGGTTACAACTTATTCAGTCATGCTGAAAAGCGAATCGTTCCCAGCGGCGTCAGTGCGCATTAGAACGCGGCCGCTTTGTGGCGCTCGCGTAGACGGGAACAAGCAGGACCCGCGCCTACACCGCTCTTCACGCCTCTGCGAACTCCCTCCGCAGTCTCGCCCATCCCCGCTCCATGAGGCCAATCAGAGCCCGGTCGGCATCTCTGAGGCAGCCACTCCTTTCTCACAAAATGATTAAACCTGGACCAGCTATTTTTATTCGGTTCTATAAGGACAGCCGCCGCCAGTCAGCGCTGGCGGGAATCTGGGCCTCAAGCGCGCGCCCCGCGCGGCCTCGTGCTGACGTCTCCTCCTCAGCGTCGGCGTTCGGGGGCGCAGCTGCCCCGCCGCGCGGCGCCGTGCTCGTCCAGTCACGGCGTCTTGCAGGGGCGGGAGGCGGGTTCGCGGTGAGAGGGTCCCCTCGGACGTCCTCGCCAGGACCCTGCCAAGCCGATGGTAAAACCCGAGGGGCGACGACCCGCGTGCCCGAGTGAGGGAACAGGATCCGGTCCGTCCACGCACCCAGTCCCGCGGGAGCGCCGGGCCTTCGACGTGGGCGCGCGTCCCCCAGGAATCGGTCCCTCCCCGACTGAAGGGGGCGGGACCGGCCGGCACGCTCGGTTGTGCCTGGGCGAGGGCCACGCCCCCATCTCCACCCCGCCCCGGGTGCGAGCGCGTTTGATCCCGCCCCAGACGAAGCCAATCCGAACTCCAGGGGATGAATACGGGGATCAGGTTGCTCTCTCGGCCTCTCCCCTTCCCCACGTGACTCTCCGGAATCTCGGCCAAAGCTCGGAGTCCCTGGGTCCCTTTTCACGCCGAGCAAAGGGGAGGAGGCGAGGGAGGCGGAGCCAGGCGGAGCGTGTGTCCTTTAAACGCCGGGTCCAGACCCGCCCTCTATTGGGCGTTTCCGGGCTCTCTCGCCCGGGTGGCCTCCAGTGCGGGCTCTTTTCCAGCCTCTCAGCTCTTTCCTCCGAGCGTTTAGAATCGTGGCTCCTCCCCCGCGCCCGTAAAGCACACCTCCACGCTGCAGACCAGCTCCCGGGTGTTCTGTGAGGAGCCGCGCCCCGCAGCCCTCCTCTCGCAGGCGAGGGGCGGGGGCGAGAAAGTAGCAGCGGCAGCGCCCCCGCGCACCCCGCCTCTCCTCGCCCGCTTGAGAACAGTCTGCCGCAGGGAGCGCGGCCCGAGGCGGCTGCAGCGCCCGCGCGTCCCGGCAGCTGCCGGCGGCGCTGCACAAAGTTTCCGGCGAGCGGCCGCCGGCGGACGGGGTCCGCCGCGCCGGGTGGCCTGACAGAGCAGAGGGTGTGGGAGGGTCTTTCCGGGCTCCGGGCGACCCGCTCTGCCAACGCGGCGCCGACGTCTGGTGGGTGCCAAGCGAACTTTGAAAAGCTGCTTTGGACCAACCTGCGACAGGGGCTGCACTGTCGGGCCCGGAAGGGTCTAGCCTGAGGAAAATGCCGGGAGATCCGATCCGCCGGTGACCGGCAACTTTCCGGAGAGACTTTGCGGCCGAGAACCGCGCTCTGCTTCGTTCTCGCGGAGCTCGGCCCGCTTTGCCGGGGAGCTCGGCGCGCTGGTCGCCCGGGCAGGGAGGGAACCGGACCCCCGCCCGCTCCGGCGCCTTCGGGCCGATGCGAGAGTCGCTCTCGGCCTGGCCCGTCCATCTCCTTTCCCCAGAGGTAACCGCGCGCTGCCTCCACCTCCTGTGCGCCCGGGTTCGGGGTGCCGAAGCAGCGATGGGTGTCCTCAAAGTGTGGCTCGGGGTGGCCCTAGCGTTGGCGGAATTTGCAGTGTTGCCTCGGCGCTCGGAAGGTGAGAGGACGGTGCCTTTTGTGTGTGTGTGTGTGTGTGTGTGTGTGTGTGTGTGTGGGTGTGTGAGTTCATGCGGGTTAAAAAGCTAAGCGGGTTTACAGTGCTGTGGGTCGGTGGAAGTTTTTTGGGGGTCGAGGTGGAACTGGAGTGGGCTTTTTCTGAGCAGGTGCCTGCGCCTCCGGATTGTTTCGCGTTCAGGCCACAACGCCCGCCACGGCCTCCCTCCCTGTTCCGAGTGCGCTTGGGCGGGTGGGGGCTCGACCGAGGCGGCGTCTCTGGACTTAGATTTTCTTTCTTTCCGCTACCCTCTGCCCCCGGAGGGAGAGCAGCCACCGCAGCTAGGTGAGGAGCGAGCGACTGCTCTTCCCTGGGCAAAAATACTTCAGTTCCTTTGAAATATAGCATCCACCTCAAGGCCCTGTCGCTCTCCCGCCGCCTCGCCCCAGTTTGCCTCCCCTCGAGTGCGGTTAGGATTTCATAACTGGCCGCTGGGAGCGTGTTCCGGACGTGGGCGACGCACTTGCGCTGACAGAAATCCCAGCGTGGAGCGGCGCAGCCTGGCCGCTTCCCGGGAAAAAAGTGGCCAGCGAGAGTTGGGTTCTTTCTTCTACTCCGCCCTGCGCCTCCCGCGTTTCCTGCGGGGCTCCGACCTGTGTGCAGAACCCCGGGGCCGGGGGAGAGAAGGAGGCCGCGAGAGCAGCTGTCGCCGTGGTATCGAAGGCAGCGTGGGTTCACAGCGAAGGAATCAGTGAGTGAGCCCGGAGTCTGGGGGTCACGGGAGGCCGGCCCGGGGCGCGGGGCGCCCTGACTCCCACCTGCTCCGCGCAGCCGGCAACGTCGCCCGGCTGGTGCTGCAGGACGGGAGGGAGCCAGCGGGCTGGGAGGGAGACGGCTTAACCCACCGCGCTGGTCCTCGGCTTCTCCGCCCGGCTCCATTCATTGTTCATCCGGTTGCGGGAAGGAGAGTTCACCTGCCCAGCCGCAAATCACAGCCGGGCGGCGGGAGGCCGGGGGAGGACAAAGCCCTGCCTCGGGTCGGCCTCCGGTCGCCGGAGCAGCTGCCTCCTCTTTGGTAGCTTCCCAAGAGAGAGCGGCATGGCCTTGGCAGTCCACGCCCTGCAGTGGAGACTTTCCCGCGGGCAAGGGTGCTGCCTTCTGCACATTCCCGGGAAGTGTGTCAAGTGTATCATCCCCGGGAAAAGCACCCCTGGGACCTGTGCAGCCTTCTTCGAACAGTGTATATTCTGTGGAAGTACATCTTTATACTAATAGTATATGTGCGTGTGCGTGCATACTTAAGAAAACCCCTACTTGTAGGGCTTAATCGTAATAAACCATGTGAGAGAGTTAGTCCAGGCCACCCAAGCCTGAACGTGGTACTTAGGAAAATTAGTTTCACTCGGTGGTAGTTTCTTAATTAGAATCACATCCCAGCAATGCGAGAAACGTGCTGTCAATCCCGGGTAGCTCACCAGGGGGCAGTTGGAATGATGCAGTTTCTCAACACCAAATTTCCTGAAATGATAAAAGGCATTATTAGTATTAAGCGCCTACAAGGTGCGCTCTTTGGAAGATTGGGCGCGATACAGTGGGCAGAGTTTAAGAACTGCCAGTCTTTCGATTGGGGGTGAGGATGAGCAATGCAGACAGTATTCTTCCGAAGAGTCTTAAGAAACTTTGCTTTTTCTTGTTTCACCCCAGCTTTAGAGCATTCTATAGTCATTTCACAAATTGGAATGATAAATTGATGTCTGAGAGTTTCCACCCAAGTCATAGTGATGCTTATCTACTAATGAATGAATGAATCACCATGGACATTTATTGAACACATAATTATGTGCTCTATGCTAAGCACCTTATATACTTTGTCTCATTTAATTTAATTAAGTGATATCACTCCCACAGACAAAATATCAGTTGTCATCTGATGAGGCTTTGGTTCTGTCAAGGTTTTCTTTTTCTTTTAAAAATAAGAACATTGCAGTTAAGGGTGGAAACCTTAAGGATGTTAGAGATTTCGCCAAGTCTTTATCATTAGCTTAGGGAATAATTTTTAAAAATGAAAAGAAACATGTGCATGTGTGCTTCTCTTGGTGGTATGTACTCTGTGACACCTTTTCTGGGCAGCTCATGGCAGAATTTGTTGTTTTCTTTGCAGTGCTCAGAGAACGTGTCCTACGGGCTTCTAGTACACCAGTTAATGCCTTCCACAGCTATGGTTGATGTAGGTGTGGTCGTCCTCACTTAGCTGGTTAGGATGGTGCCGAGTAATTCTCATAGCTCTAGTTCAGCTCCTAATACACAGTAAGTGCTCAGGAAAATTGGTCAGATGAACAAGTATTGCTAAATTACTTTCTCTTCAATTAAGCTTAACTGGTAGACTGTCCTCTATGACTAGCTGACTGACCTTGAATGAACCACCTAACTACTTTGGGCTGTAGTTCTGTTGTTTACTAAATGAGGAAGCTGGCTAGGTGATAGTTCTAAAATGTTTTTGCTAATCATCAAGGATAGGAAAAAAGAGATCAACATTTGCTATCAGTTGCAACTTTCTGGTTCTAAATTTTAATTATCAAAAGAAAAATACATTTTTGCTAGCAAATCATTGGTGGTGTTATTTCATATTGCCTTATATTGACAAACTGGTAAACTACAATGATTTAAGGACTTAATAAAATCAAGAAGTCACAGAAAAACTTCTTACATGGCTACTTTCTGAATCAGAGAACCTCGGCCATGGCATTTTCTGGAGAAACTCATTTTGAGTTGGGTTGACATGTGGAAATCCTGTGAACTTACACTTGATTGAGCAGTTGCCTTGGGGATAGGGAAGGGTTGTTGAATAGGAGATGGAGAAAACTGAGCTCTAGTCTGTGTCCCATCACTGCCCATGTGATTTTAGCCAATCCCACGATCTCCCAGGCTTTTCCTATAAATGCCATTGACAGATTACATTGAAAGGATCACTTGATAGACAGTGTGTTTTATTTACGTGGGTTAGCATATTTGGTTCCACTCTTGCCTGGAGAGTCCCTTTGGTGAGGAACTCGATGCTTAAAACTCAATGTTTGGGAAGACAAGACATTGGCTGGGAGAATAGCCTATCTCTCCATTCATTCTATAAACGTTTATTGAGAGCTTATGTGTCAGGTTGTGTTTGGTTAGGGGTGTACAGACATCAAAAACAGAAACAAAATCAAACCCCTGTATTCCTTGCCCTCAAGGAGTTTGCATACCCAGAAATCTTTAGTACCGGTGGAGTGGCATTAGGGCATTTGGTCTTTGCTGGTTCCCCAATATTGAAATGTTGGGTACTGATTGCAACTTTGCATCTTTTAGCTTTGGCAACTCCTGCTAGTGAAAATAAAGAGGTGATATACAGTCCTAGACTCTTATTTCTATCATACTGCCATTCCCCTCTGAGGATTGGGTTCTGGGTGTTACTCTCTCCATATAGTGTACGTTGTCTAGGGAGGACACAGCCATACACATTCACTGTCATGGACTTGGTGGCAATATCACTCGACTGTACTTAGACACAAGTAGTCATAAAATGCTCTCCACCACATGGCTCAGAAGAGGGGAGGGGACTACCACATGGCAAAGTTGGAGCCTCATGCCAAATCTCACAATAGTTCCAAAACAGTTGGCCTATTTTCATTTTAACTACTTTATTAATTGATCTGAATCCTAGTTGACAATAATCAGAACATGAGCTGTCCTGTCAGTTGAGAAAATGATTCTAGTTTAACTATTCTATAGTGTATACAGCCATATGCTGAATTATAACACGACATAAAGCCTGAACATTTAAATGCCAACTTGTGGCTGCTTGTTCCTATTGAGTCATGTTTTTGCAATACCATGCTTTCCAAATCTTTTCGTATCTCGTGGGTTATATCTACCACTATTTCTTTGAACTGATGGGCCTGACATTTTGTGGCTCTGGGATTTCTCTGAGTTACTCGGTCTATGAGTGAGTAGTTTCAGGATATAAGTACTGGTACAAATTATATCTCAAATTTTCTCTAAAAATATTAGATTTTATAGAGGCATCTCATGAAGGAGTATATTATGATGTGCAAAACAGACATTTACTTGTTTACATTTTATGCAGTAACATTTTGTCTATGTGACCTGCAAGAAATGAGCCAACCACATGGGAAGAAGAACAGCCCAGGTCTTGGGATCTGGGATTCCTTCCTGATGAGCTGTAAAATTGCTTCACCCTGCAGAACTCTATGCACTCTCTCACAGGATATTTGATGTTAGAACTTAAGTTACCCGGCATCTCAGCTATACTCTGTGCCCCAACATTCATGGTTAGAGAACTCTAGCTCCTGTTGTCTTTCCACCCCCCGCCCCTCAGTTTTCCTTTGAGGGTAGCCCATTTCTCCTAGATCTGCACCATCTCTCAGAATTCACCTTGAACTGGAGTTTTCTTTATGGTTCAACCAAAGCCATAAATATAAACCTCAGATAGACCCACAATCATTTTGGTATTGCTTAAGAAAAAAAATGATGAGTAGAGGGAGCAACTTTGTGTTCTATATCATGTGAACTGATTGATTAGTGAAAAGGCTCCTGCTGCAGTTCTCAACAGAAGCCCCACCCAGCACCCAGTGCAGACAAACCTCCCAATTTCATCCCGTGGTGGGTGTGCTAATGTAGGAGATAAGGCTTGCTTTGGATGACTGCGTCGGCATTGGTTGGTGATAAACGTTTGATAGGACTGGGCATCATACTGGAATGCTTTGTTTTTTCAAGAGAATAGAAATGAGGTTTTGGAAGCTGTGTTAATGGAGACTGATTCGTGCCTCTGCCTTCTGGGTAGAACTGTTCTGTTTCAGGAAAGCCCTCAGAGGGCAAAACTTATTTCTTTTGGAATTGTATGTCATATAGCGACCCACATTGAGTTATTTCCTTTTCCTAGTGATAGAATTTATCAGCAGTGTACACTGTTTTGACTTGAGTCTCCAGCAGATGTTTGGCTTACGCAAGTGGATATGGTGCCACACTCAATGCTGCTTTATGT